ACAATTCATATTTTTCTTGGAGGCTTTGAATGTAGGAGCTTTGACTTTGTTGTCTTCTTCTGAGTGTATGTTTTCATCTACCTTGCCACCAAAGTAAGTTTCTATAGCCAGAGGTTTTTCCCCCATTGCTTGCTCATTTTCCCAGCTTATTACTTGACCTTTTAACTCCTTGTTAATCTAGGGTTCTTCTTCCACTGTGGAAAGTGAATTGTCCCAAACTTTAGGGGTTTTATGCAGCTGTTTTAGAAGATACTTCGAGGAACCTGTAAGTTTTCAGTTCTTTCAAGGTGGTATGATCTAAGGAGAGCTGTTTACTACTTTCCTGGACTGTGCTCTGGTCTTTGAGTGACCACAGGCTCTCTTTTCTGCCCTGGAACTATGAAAAGGGTCCCTTCTCCACTGTTGTCACAAGCTCTGCTATGCTAGTGCTCCTCTTCACCCCAGGACTGCCACCCAGGACTGTGACCCTGATCCAAGCATGGGTAAGGCAACAGAGTCCTACCTCAGTGCTAGCAAAGAGACCCCTGTAATCTCCTGACCAGTTGTTTGATCCTCTTACCGTCTCTGGACTGAAAGCTCCAGAAGCAGCTGCTGCTGTTGCCACTGCTAATTCAGTCACTCCCAAAGGCCTGCTCGTGATTTGCTGGGGCCGGGGCTGTGCTAGGGCTGGGGCCAGACCACGCTCCTCTCTCACCCAGGTCTGACAGACCTTTCCTACTGACCTTCTAAGTTGTCTTTGGTGTTTGTGGGGTGATAAATCTGGAAACCACCACTGCTGCCAGTGATTCAGTCCAGAAGCCTGCTACGGTTGTGCTAGAGCCTGGTCTGTGCTGGTGCAGCCTGTGCTGGACTGAGCTCCTCTCTCAGGTCGATGCAACAGACCTTTCCTGTCAGCCTTCCAGGTTGTCTTGAGTTGGAAATTTTTGAGGGCTCTGCTGCTCTAGAATTTGTTTAGAGTCATTTTTAAAGGTATTTGGAGGGGTTTGGAAGAGACCTTGGGTGAGTCCCTGCCTTTACTCCACTATCTTTCTGTGGAATCAAAAATCAATATTAAAGCTAGTTTCAGACTACTTGTGAATTTAGGCAACTATGAAGAGACGTTCCGGTTCGAGAAAGTACTGTTCAGGATCAGTGAATCTAATATTTTAAATGCTAAACATAGATTTTCATCCTTTTAGTGTAAGATATGCATATATAAACACAAACATACACATAAATGTGTATGGGTATATAAACATCTACATGCATATATAACTACATTAGATATATATAATAAAGCAGTAAATGCTAGTATAAATTTATTAGACCCTTCCTTCAAATATCCATGTTTTCTGTTTTTGTCACCCAGAAATTTATCCTGATCCACCCTCTTTATTCTCCACCTTCTTATTTCACTCTATCCCAGAATGTCTCTCACTAGTAAAACATAGAAGTAAAGCAGGAATCCTCTTATTTAAAAATATTCAAAGAACAGGGCACCAGAGAGGTACAATTCCAAGTGGCCTTGGAGACTAGCAGTTTACTTCAATAGTAGAGAATAAAAGATGTTCCAAGGTAAAAACAAAGCAAAGGAGAAAATGAAATTCCATCTTTTCAGAAAAATATCTATTACTGAAAGGTCTTTGTTCTAGGATACAGAGAAATCTAAATGTGCATATCCTGATGTACTCAAAACAGGATGTTATTATTCAGAACTAAGTCATCTTCCAAGATATGTTATATGATTTTGATATATGCATGGAAAACACTTGGTTGGAAAAGAAATTTTCAAGTAGGTTTTGTTATATTGAATCAAATGCTTTTCAATAGTTGGGGAGTAGGGAGCAGAAATTTTTTTTTTTGGTGAGGCAATTGGGGGTTAAGTGACTTGCCCGGGGTCACACAGCTAGTAAGTGGCAACTGTCTGAGGCTGGATTTGAACTCAGGTCCTCCTGACTCCAAGGCTGGATCTCTATCCACTGCACCACCTAGCTGCCCCCAGGAAAATGTTTTGAAATATTTATAGTAGAATAGAAAAGCCTATGGATTGGACCAAATGATCCAGGGTCTCCTTTGAATCTCTGAGATTATATCCTTTAAGGCAGTCAAGAAACATATGTTAAGCCCTTATTGTGTGCCAGGCACTCTCAGAAGTGCTGGGCTTACAAAGAAAAGCAAAAACAGGGTTCTTGTTCTCAAGAAGCTCACATTATAATGCAACAGAAAACATGCAGGTAACTATGTAATACAGGATATGTACAGTGTAAATAGAAGGTAATCTTTCAAGAAGAAGACCCTGGCCTGAAGGTGGCACTTCAGCATGTGGACTTTGATCTGAGTTTTGAAGAAGGAAAACTAGGAGGTAGAGGTGATGCATTCCAGGCATGGAGTCATGTTTGAGGAATAGCAAGGACACCAGTACACCAAGACTATAGCTACCAGCAGCAGAGTAAACTGTAAGGAGGGGAAAATTTGTGGAAGCCATGGGATTTTATACTTTCTTCTGGAAGTCACTGAAATGTTCTGAGTCTGAAGGCTGACAAGCTCTGATCTAAAGTATGGAAGCACGCGAATCATTTTTGTGAATGGAGAGAAATGGGCCCATGTATTTAGGAGATGCTTGAATGATAAGACATTTGGGCAGGGGTCAGATTCACTGATTCGCTGAAAACTGGGCCACAGAAGAGTCAGAGAGTAAAACTGGAGAGAGGTGAACATGGAGACTCTTCACCGCATGCCTAGCAGGGTCCATGACTAACTCCTCATGACCTCCCAAAAAAATGGACTTAACATTTCCCTGACTACAAGGAATAACACAGAGACATGAAAACCAAGTACAAATATCTAGGATAACACGGGTGTCAGCGTCAGTGTACTTATTCTTGCAACTTTTCTAGCAGAATTTAGAGAAATGCTTCAGGTCTCCTTTACCTTCTTCACTGGTGTAGTTACAGTATGTATTTTTCTTGTGAATATCTGTTGACTGTTGCGTTTTCCTCCCTTATGGCTGGTTATCATTGCCAAGTATAAAGTCAATGCTGGTGACAACTGCATGCAGCTGGTGGTAAAGGGGAGATTCAAGGACCAACCTGGTTCCCAACTGGGATGATGATGTAAGGGTGGCAGATGATGTGAGAGGATTCATATATTGGAATGTAATTGCTGGAAGCTAAAAATGAAATATATCTTCACCTGCAGCTTTTCCATACCTATCTCCTCCTCAGAACTGGATAGAGGTGTCAGTAATTGAACTCAACAAAGCCATTATTCCCTGAGCATGGGGACAGGCATTTGGGAGCTCAAACACACAGACTAAACAGGCTGTTCAACTACATGGTACAAATCAAACAGATCAAACAGCTACATGGCACTCAAGGTCTAGGTCAATGAGAAGGACATTCCTTCATCCAATTCAGGAGAATCTCCTTGTAGATATCATTTTAAACATTTTCTCCAGGGCAATGGAACTAATATTGATATTGACAGTTGTAGCAGGCACAGCTTCCTGACCAGTAGCATATAGTCTGATCAAAGTTAAAATACCACAAAGCTTCTTTTCTTGGTAAGATTGAGTCTGGTGTTGACATTCAGAAGCCACCTTATTTATCTAGGAGGTCTGAGTTCAATCCAAACTTAGCCAAAGAGTCACAGCCTATTACAACTTTGGTCTTATGGCTAGGACCTGGTGACAGTTGAGTTTCAATAGTCAAGGCCCTATATAGTTGATATGCAGTGTTCTAGGGCTGCGATAGGTGGTGCTGAAATGCTCTGCAGCCTCAGTTCTTGCAGTCAGGCACAGAGGCAATGATAGCATATTGGTCTCTGGTCTTCCATTCCTCAATAGAGGTATTTTCCAGAGGCCCTGGTATTTTGGAGATGTGGACATTAGACCTGGTGCATGCTCAGCCTGGTGGTTAGGACAAGATAGAGATGCGACCTTCTGATTAAGTGAAGGTATAGTACATTGACCTGGGGTTCATGGTCTGGTTCTAGGGTACAGGCCTACTGAAAATACAATGAAGGGATACAGGACCTTTGGAAATGTTGCTATTGAGTTAGTTTTCAGGGTAGCTTTCTGATAGGCAAGAGATAGTGGTGATTTATCCCAGACCTGTGGAGACTTTGGCTGGTAGTCCAAGTCTAGTGGAATTGTGAATGAGTGATTCATGCCTAGAAGCCTGGTAGTTAAGGACTTGGGCAGCCTCATCTTGGTGGCTTGAGCTTCGTGAAAGCACTGAGTAGGTAGCAGTGGCTGATGACATAATCTGAGCATTGAGGCCTGGTGAAACCTCAGTCTCATTCCAGTGGGTGGTGGAGTTATACCATGCAGGTAATGATCCAACTATGTCCTTAGACTTATTAGTAGGTCCCAATGGAATGTAAGTCATGTGATCAAGACATAGAGGAGCCTTACCACAATGGCTGGGCAAACTGAATGATCTGTGGCTTTGGCCCAGAGTTCAAGGCCTAGAGGTGATATAGCTTTTGTCTTGGCCAGGAGTTGGGGACCAGATGATGGAATAACAATGACTATTCTTTAAGAGAATAGTGTAGATATGATTGTAACCCATTGGCAGAGGCACAGTGAACACGCAGTTGTGGTCTTCACATAGAGATTGAGTTCAGCCATGGCTCTGGGGTAAAGGTAAGAATATGATGAATTCAAACCTGAAGCCTTGATCCAGGGGTTCAGGTCTGAAGTTGTCACAGAGGTAGACCAAATAGCAATGATGTTACTGTAACTCCATGCCAGTAGTTCAATTAAGTTGTGGTCCTGACCCAGGGCTTATGACTCGGCAAAGCCTCAGCCTGAGAGACTAGGGCATGTAAATGGTGCAACTAGGGCTCTATCCTGGAAGTAGGGACTAAGTGGGACCTCAAACCAATGTTGATTGGTGTGGATGTAGGCTGCTGGTTGAAGTATGACAGGTACTATGGAACCTTGGGAATCTGGTCAGAGTCCAAAGGATTTTCTGGCCAGGATTCAGGGTGAACAAGAGACAGAATCTTGGAGTCAGGTCTGAGTAGAAGTGTCTCATTTTATTCTAGGGATGGCAAAGATAATGAAATTCCCTTAACATTGTACTCATGGTATATTGAAGGCAAAACTGTGGCCATATAATGGCGATTCTGGAGTATGGTTGATTTAGCCATCTTCCAATTGTCAAGAATCAGTAACAGGTCAGACATTTTCTGAATGCCAGATGCAGACAGCTGTTGAGTTTTTCTCTGGTCTTTCTGGGGTTGTACAGGAATGAACTTTCTATTCGGAAGTTGTAATAACTTGGTTCTAGCTTGATTAAAGTGGGGTATCTGCTTAACTCTGGACCAGTGATCTTCTTTCAATAATGATGAAATCTGATGATGAGAAAATGGTAATCTTGATGGGACCTTGGGATGACAGTCTATTGAAGGGTATTGGATCACAACTGTTGGTATGAAAAGACAATGTAAGTGAGGGTAAAGAACTGTATTACACATATAGCATATATGGAAAAGGAGATTGTAGAATATGTAAAAGAAAATGAAATTTGATAAATACATCTTAAATTTGTGCAGTACTTTACAGCTGCCAAAGCACTTTCACACACATTACCTCATGTGATACAATTAACAAGTTCATGAGGTAGTCATGGCAGATATTATTGTGCCTGTGTGACAAGTGAAGAAATAGACAAAGGAAAGTTAAAACAACTTGGGTCATAAATAATTGTGGAGGTAAGATGTGGAATTAAGGAAACTAATATTTACAGGGCTCAACCTGTCAAAGGCCTGGTGCACAACCAGGATTAGAATCCATATCTTCTGATTTCTAGAGCAGTGATCACTCTACCAGACCATGCTGATTTTAAAGACTATTATAGAATATAGAATCAGATGGATGAGCATCATATAAAGAGTAAACTGGGCCATGCATCCATAAGGAGAGTAGTGGAAAGAGTAAGGAAAGAGGTAACGGGCCCCCATTTGAAAACTAGAGTTCTCACCTTTTGGAAAAGGCCACTTTTTCTCCTCATTCACCTCCTGAAGGGTGTTCCTTGAGAAAATAACATGTTAACAAACTTCGTAGATAAAATTGTACCATGAGTACTAGTTAAATAACCATATGTGTCTATGCCATAGTTATCCCCAGTTTGTCCTATTTTCTTTTAAATTTACTTCACAAAATCAATGTGAATCTCAATATATTCTGTGATACTCCTGCAGTTCAGACACACTTTCTCACAATTGGGAAAATCAGGGGCTACTGTTGCTCCTGTCCTGAGTTTCACTTTTATTACAGTGTACTCAATAAGAATGACAAAATCTTTACGTGGAGGAATGTATGACTGAGAAAGGAATAGTGGTACCCTAACTGCAGCATTTTAGGAGGAAATGAAAACTTAAGATAGAAGAATGAAGCTCTACAGGAGGAATTTAAAATATCAGGCTGTGATTTCAGATGGTACATTCTCAGTCTCAAGACAGTCATGTCAATGCAGTGGACAGAGCATTGCCTGGAAGTCATGAAGTACTGAGTTCAAATCCAGCCTCAAACACTTACTAGCTGTGTGATGCTGGGCAACTCATTTAATCTCTATTTGCCTCAGTTTCCTCTACTGTAAAATGGGGATAATAAGTGCAACCTACTTTGCAGGGTTGTTGTATCAAATGGAAGAATATTTGAAAGGTGCTTATCACAGCACCTGGCACATAGGAGGTGTTAAATATTTTTTTTCCCTTTCCAAGAGTGTATATTCTTAGTCCCCCATCATAAATTTCCTAAGATTAATTCTACTTCATTTGATTTTTTTCTTTTTGGTGAGGCATTTGGGGTTAAGTACCCCAGGGTACCACACTTGCCTAGGGTCACACAGCTAGTAAGCATCTGGTCTGAGGTCAGATTTGAGCTCAAGTCCCCCTAACTTCAGGCCTGGTGCTCTATCCACTGTGCCACCTAGCTGCCTCTTACTTCATTTGATTTTGCAAAATCATCCCAACACAGAATCATTCAAGTCCCCAATGAAGCCTTTGTATTCTTAGTTTAAGTACAATGAAATTAATTTTTGAGATGATATGTGGAGAATTTTATGATATACAGTGGACAACTGGAAAATAACTGGGTGATCATAAAACCAAGCCTGGGAAGTATGAGTCTAGACCTCTTCAAAATCCAGCTTCTCCCCTGAGTACATGCTCTTGAGAAATCATTCTGGAAACAGGCCATCTTATCCCAATCACTGGCCCTCACCTCTCTCTTCTCTGGCTAATAATCCCAAAGTCCTTTCATCAAAAAGGGCTCAAGGACAGGAACCCTGGCTAATCTGCTTCTAAGTGGTATCTGTAAGCTTCCCTAGTGAAGGCAAACTAAGTATGAGAGGCAAGTCTCCAGCAAAAATGGAGCCATTGAATAAATAAGTGGCCTGTTTAGAGAAATAGAAATTTTTCCTCCTGAGAAAGGACTGTCATCACAGAACACTCTATGCGCTTCTCAAGGAACAAGGCTTGAGTTCAGCAGTATTTTGTTCCACATAGAAGACATGAATTTATCCTTATATTGCAGACATCCCAGAAAGGCAACACTATGGTACTAAGGGCACTAGATTTGCAAAGAACCTAGGCTTGAGGCTCAGCTCTATATATTACTTCCACTGCGAATTATTTGGACAAGTTACTCTCCATCTCCTGATCTCAGTTTCTTATCTGTAAATCCCCAGAGATTTAACTGTATGATCTCAAACTTCCCTTACAGCTCAGACTCTATTATCCCATGAGTCAGGCAGTCCTGGTCTCAGTCATCTCTGTGGTTAGTTAGTATAAGGGAAATGGCTTTAGGAGATTAGCAGGCCCACAAAAAGCCTTGACTTGTAACTACATAAAATATAGTATTCCTTCACCAACTGTCTAGTCTTTATGACGTTTCAGGGTACTTCAGAATCTGTTGGCAAATTAATCAATCAACAAGTGTTTATTAAGCACTTACTATGTGTCGGGTAGTGATGCTTACTCTCCAGCAGCTCACATTCCAATGGGGGAAACAACATGGACATAAGTAGGTATGTACAAGATGTATACCCAGTACATATAAGGTAAAATTAAAAGGGAAGATACTAGCAGCTAAGAGGGCTGGGAAAGGTCCCTTGCAGAAGGGAGTGCTCAGACAGTCTTGAAGGAAGGCAGAAATTCTAGAAGGCAGAGGTGAGGAGGGAGAGCATTCCAGGTGTAGGGGAGCCATAGAGGCACCGACAGGAAATGGAGCAGTGTGAGGAACAACAAATAGGCCAACAGGGCTAGATCATGGAGGGCTCGGAGGGGAGTAAATATGTAAGGAGAATGGAAAGACAGGAAGGGGCCAGGCTATGAAGAGCTTTAATTATCAACCAGGGAGCCACTGGAGTTTAGCAAGTAGAGCAATTACACGATCAGAACTTTGCTAATAAGATGATAGGTTTGGCAGCTGAGTGAAGGATGGATTGGAGTGGGGAGAGCTCCGGGCCAGAGGTGGCTTAGGCCTGGAACAGGGTTGTGGCTATGTGAGTGCAAATGAGGGGATGTATCTGAGAGGTGTTGTGAAGGTAAAAAAAACAGCATTGGAGGGCAGACTGGATATGAGGGGTGAGTGAAAGTGAAGGGTGGAGGGTGACACCGAGGCTGTGAATTTGGGTGACTAGGAGCTTTGGGTGCCCTAGAAAGTGACAGGAAAGAGTTTGAAAGAGGGCTGGGATTGGTGGGGAAAGATGATGAGTTGCCTTTTGGACATGCTGAATTTTAGACACTTACAGGACATTCACTTAGGAAGGAGACATAGATCTGGAAAGAGTCTGCATAGAGGTGAACCCAAGGAAACTGATGAGGTCATCAAATGAAATAGTAAAGAGAGAAAAGAGAAGAGGTCCCAGGACAGAGCCTTGGGGGACATAAACAGTTATGAGGAGTCACATGGAGGAAGATCCAGAAAAAAAATGCGATGAGTAGTCAACCAAGGAAGAAGAGGAAAGAACAGGAAAACCCAGAGAAAGTATCCAGGGAGAGAAAGTGAGTAACAGGTCAGATTTCACAAAGGGTTGACAACAAATGAGGATGGAGAAAAGGTCATTAGATTTAGGGATTAATAGATCAATGGCAATTTTGGAGAAAGTATGAATGATGAGGTCAGGATTAAGGAGGACTTAAAAGAGAATAAGAGGAGAGAGATAGATGCACAGAAGGTAGATGATTTTTTAAAAGAGTTTATCTGAGAAGGGGAGGAGAGACGTAGGACCATAGACTGTGCCAGTTTCCTATAACTACTGGACAGCTCTAGAAAGGGTTCTTTGAAAGTATGGGGGAGATTCAGGCCATGTTTAAAGGCAGGAAAGAAACCACTAGAGAAGGAGAGATAGGAGATGATGGGGGTTGGGGTGGTCAATATGTTGAGGAAGATGGAAGGGAATGGGATGATGAAGGGCACACGTAGAATGCTTAGCTTTGTCCAGGAGAAGGGCTGTCTCTTCATCAGAAACCAGTGAAGTGGACCTAGTGAGGGATACTGTCACTGGAGTATGTGGAAGGGCAGAGAAGGAAGTTCTCAGTGAATGGCCTCAATTCTTTTCAGGGAAGTTTGAAGATGACCAAGAGGGTAAGGGTACTGTAGTAGGCTTGAAAAGCACAGTTTTAGAACAGTTGCTGTGGTGAGTGGAATAGAGAATCAATTAGAAAGAAATGGAAGGATTGTCTTGTTAAGATTTAGTTGAGATTAGATGACTTAAATCTGTAGTGTTCCCAGTCAACACCATTTTGTGATTTCCTCCAGATCTGTGAGGAAGACTAAGGAGATGGATGATGGGTTTGTGGTTTGGCAGGTCAAGAGTGACAACAAGACAAGAGAACAAGTCGGGGGGCGGAAGTTTGAGAGGAATATAGATTAGAGAAATGTTGAACTGGTTCACCAAGTGGCTGAGATTGTAAAGAGAAAAGAGTGTAGCCACAGCAGAGGGTCTGGGAAAATTCTGAAGGATATAGGGATTGGAAGTCACAGTGGTTACAAAAGATCGCATAAGATATAAAAAGATTATGATGAGCTAAAAGGAATGAGCTAGAAACTAAAAGTATAATCTTTTTTGTGTGTACCTGAGGTGTAGTAGAGGGGTAAATCATGTGAGATGGGTAGATTGAAAAACTGAAAAATTAAGAATATTTGAAGGAATATCAAGCATGTTTGTTGAAGAACTCTAGAGAATAAGAACAAGAGTTAGTGTGGAGAGGGAGCCTCTGAGTCAATCACAATTCATTAAGAAAAGAAAAACAGTATCTCTGAAGGATGACAGATAACAGCCACCAGGACCTAGATTGGGGTGACAAATTTGAATAGTGCAAACCTCAAGGGAGAAAAGGTTGCTGAGTGAATAGTGGGATAAGGAGAATCTTAAAATACCAATGGGGAGCCAGAAATATTCCATGGAGTATGAGAGAAGGTACAATCAGTACTAGAAAGGATGGCTGAGGTAATGTCATCTTGAGGGAATGAGATCTCAGTAAGTGCCAGAAGATGAAAGGATTAACAAAGAAAGCTCTAAAATGAAAAGTATGTTAATTTTGGAGTGTGAGTTCCAGAAGGCACAATGGAAGGGACAGGTAGACCTAAAGTGGGACAGAAGCAGCATATGGTTGAAATGGATGGGAATGAGGGAGCATACCTGGAGTTGGGGCAGGGAATTTGCTCTTTGGTAGCAGAGCTCTGTAGCACAGAGATGGAGACAGTAAGAAGGTGGGAATATACTAATCACTGGGAAATGCATCCAAGCAGAGTATCTGTGGATGGGAATAGCTCTGCTGATTAAATCAGGTGATTCAAGGTCTCTTCAGAGACCAGGTCCTTGGAAGGGTCTCAGAACAGCCCTCAACTACCTGGACATGTGACAGGTAGTATTTTTGTGTCCTGAGAAGCTTCCTGAAGCCCATCTTTATGTGTTGAAGGGGTGTTGTGTCCCTGGGCATCCTTAAGCCCAGCCAGGAAGAAGGAGGTGCTATGTCTCAGGGTCCTGACTTGAGGTAAGCTGGAGCAGATCCTGGTGACTGGTGTTGGGGAAGGTTCAAATTCAATATCAAAAGAAACTTTAGTATATCCTCACTATAATTATAGCTAGAATTTAGATAGCACTTTAAGGTTTACAGAGTGCTTTGCATACGTTGTCAAATTAGATAAGTGCAATTATTATTTTCAACTTACAGATGAGGCAACTGAGTCTAGACAGGATAATGATTTGCCCAGGATCACAGAGATAGTGTCTGTTGTAGGATTTGAACTCATATATTCTCGTCCCCCAAATGTAACACTCTTTCCACTGCAACACCTAGCTGCTTCTCCTTCCTACTTCCTTTTTCTTTTGAAGAGTTTATATTAGTCATTAACCTCTGTTAAGATAGGAATTTCATCTTGAGACTTCTCTACACAACAGGAGAACATAATGTTTTGACTGAGCCAGTAACAAAATACTACATTTTACATACAGAAATGAATGAATGGTCAGATTTCTCTTTCTGTTATAAACAGATCTGCATGGCCATATGGATTTGGGCATTGCATTCCCCCAACCACCCAATAGCCCAATCCACTCTGTCTCATCTCTTTCTGACACAGTTGTTGTTTCATTCGTGTCCAACTCTTCACAACTCCATTTGAGGTTTTCTTGGGAAGGATACCGAAATGGTTTACCATTTCCTTCTCCAGCTCATTTTACAGATGAGGAAACTGAGGCTAACAGGGTTAAGTGACTTGCCTGGGGTCACACAGGTAGTAAGTGTTTGAGGCCAGATCTAAATTGGGGAAAATAAATCTTCCTGACTCTGGGCCCAGTACTCTATCCACTGTGCCACCTAGCTACCCCTTTCTGACACAGACAGAAGACTAAATAAAACCCATTTTTATCCATGTCTAAAATCCATTCTACACTAATGTCAGAGGAAGGCAACAAACACCTTGTTGGTAGGCCATATTATATCCATTCCAATTTATGAGCCTTCTGGAACCAAGAAACATAATCAAGAAAGCTAGAGTTGACACTGTGTTATTCTATCAACCATCTGCAGCTTACAAACTTCTAATGTTGAGTTCCCCATCCTGAGAAATCCATCGTAGTGAGAAAACCTAGCCAAACAATGAAGCATTAAAACAAACACCTGCCTTATATTTCTCAGGGGCTTTAGGAGAAAAAAGAAATTACCTTCTGGGAGGTCTAGCAGTCACCAGATTACAGAAGTAGGTAGGGAAGGGCCTTCAAAGAAAACTGTTTTGTCTGCTCCCAGTCAATGCTTGCTGATTATGGTTGCTAGCTGTGTGCCCTTGCACAAGTCACTTAACATGTCTGCCCCAGTTTCCTCATCTACAAAATGGGGATAAAAAACAGTACCTATTTCTCAGGTTTCTTGTGAGGATCAAATGAAGTAGTATTTATAAGCTCTTAGCACAGTGCCTGGCACATAATAGGCACTACACAAATTCTAGCTATCATCATCATTATGGGAAGAAATTTCCTACATTTATGATTCTGAAGAAATTGGCACAATTACTCCCTATATTTTTTAGTTTGAATTACCTAATATTGTTTGCTTCAGTTTAGTACAGTATTTACTCTACCTCAAGCACAACCCCTCACCTCCTAAATGCCCTGCTCAAAATAAAATTGCTTTATTTTAAATTCTATGGGTATCATTGATTTAGAAGTGGGAAGGACCTATGTCCTCATTTTAAATATAAGGAAACTGAGATACAAGGAAGTCAAGTGACCTGCTTGACTGATAAGAGCAGTGAACTCAGAGTCAGGAAGACATGAGTTGACATCCTGTCCAGATACTTCCTGGCTGCATAACATTGAAGTGGTTATTTAACTTCTTTCAGCCTCAATTTCCTCATCTCTAAAAGAATTGTAAGGATTGGATGAAATAACATAAGTAATCTTTAAGTGCTCTATAAATGCAGGCTAATGTTATTTTTGTTCAGGGTTATGCATGTACATAGTCAGTGGCAGAGCCAGAATTGAAACCCAGTTCTTCTGACTCCTAATACAACTCTCTTCCACTCTACCAGGTTCTTTTTTGAATCAAAGGCTCTCACACTTAGGCTAACAACTACCTCCAAGAGACTTTAGAGTTGGGATGACTTCTAGAGATGAGGCAAACGCACTTCATTGCCTAGGACCACATATCCTCATCTTCACCCCAGCCATTCCACTCCCCACCCCCACACTTCTTCCCATCCCCACTTTTCTGCTCTGAGAACTGTGATCAAACCAGCAATCCCATTGCCTCCTGAAAAGGGCTTGTCAGTGCCCCTACTGACCCACTCTCCATCTCCGTGACTTCCACCAGTGCCTCTGTGCTGCTCCTCCCTTTCAAACTGTCTCTTTTGTATTTGTATCCCTATTCCTTAGCACAGTCCTTGCTTCTTTTAATAAAAGATTACAAGGAGTCATTTTGGAGGGGTCTAGATCTATGATTTCATTGGTCTAGGGAATTCACCAGTGAGGAAACTCCAGTGCATATAGACAAAAGTCCTGCAATTTATAGATTCCAGAGTCAGCTAGGACACAGGGAGTAAAAGTGACTTATCTAGGGTCACACAGCCAATGTGTGTCAGAGGCCAGACTTGAATTTATCTCTGAATCTGCTATGTGACAATAACACTTTGTATTATCAAAAAATTATCTCTAGAAATTAATTATTGGTTTAACTCATAGTAGACTCTCTTAGCCAAAGTCCCACAAATTTTCCATTCTTAAGAGCTCAATTTAGGTCTGGTCTAGCTTTTCAAGGGAGCTACTAAGTGTGGCCGCTAAAATGGATAACTTAATCTGTCTCTTCCTTCAATTCTGGTACTTGGCTCTCTCTCTCTCTCTCTTTTTTTTTTCTCTCATGCTCAGACCCAAAAGAAAGCCTAGCACATTTGTCCCAGAGGAAATCTACTTACCCTGATCCCCTTTTTTCCTTCTTTTCCCCAGGTTTCAAAGAGCATCTCACCAGTCAGAGCTTTGGAAATAACAAGAAAACAGTCTATTTCAAAGATTTCCAAAGTCAGGAACAACACATCTTCTTTGAAAAGCAGGTCAAGTCCTATTGAGTAAACAGCAGGGATAATGCTAGTAAGAAAAAATTATTCAGAAAGTCACTCTTTCCTAAAAGGGTTCTGTCCAGAAGATGAAGGCAAAGCCAGCTAGCTATGCATCCTCAGGCACTGTACCAGGACTGTTTGTATGTGTGTGTATATGTATATGCATATATTCACACACATAGACACATACACACACACATATATATAGTATATGTCTATATATTTAAATATCTATCTATACAGATTAATATAGATGGAGACAGAGAAAGAGACATAGATAGGGATAAGTGTATACATTTGTGAGACCCTGAATGTCCTATTGCTCTGCTTTCTATTTTATTTCCATTAAATACCTTTGTTATGAGCTAATTGTATCTCTGGGATGACTAGAGAAAAAAAATACACATCAGTGGGTCAGCCATGGATGTGGACTCACACAAAGTACATCAAGGCTAAGGTAGCTGTTCTGAGGGTCCCACATACAAGACAATTCAACTTAGGAAGTCTTCTTTGCCATCACTGGTCTGCCCCCAGAAAAGCAGCTATATAAGAGATGAGGACCAAAGCAAGAAAGGTATTTTGATTGACATACACCAATAAACATGGTTATTATTAACCACTCTCTGGGACAGAGCATGAACCATACTTTCTACAATGAGCTCCATGTAGTCCCGGCAGTGTCCTGTGCTGCTCCAAGCAGCTCCTCTAAATCTCCTCAAATGTTAAGATAAAAAATATGAAATATCATCTTCAAGACCTTCACCACTTTGGCCTGTATGTTGCCACCCAGGTTGGATTATCTCTATATACCTTTGGTTTTGCCAAAGGCAGCTAGATAGTATAGTGACTAGAGTACTAAACCTAAAGTCAGAAAGACCTAAGTACAAATCCTGTCTCAGACACTTAAAAGCTGTGTGACTCTGAGCATGCAGTGTAAGTTTTTGTCTCAGTTTCCCTATCTGTAAAACAAGGATAGTAACAACATCTCTCAAGGTTGCTATGGGAATCGAATGAGATAACATTTGCAAACCTTAAAGCATTATACAAATCTACTGTCATCAACATCAAAATCAGCAGCAGCAGCAACAGCATCATTATAATTGTGTGATGGTGAGACTTATAATGTGTCCATCTTTGAAGGTCCTGCCCTTACCTATGCTATCCTCTGTTTGAATCTGGCTGGCTGTTATCTGATAGGTTACCTCATGAAGATCCTAAATGAGACAGGCTACAGTTTTACAGCTACAGCTGGGAGGAACATTTTATGTGACATCAAGAAGAAGCTGTGTTATGCTGCCCTGAGTTTCAAGCAGGAGATGGCCACTGCTATTATCTAGATCTCTGGAAAAGAGTTATGAGCCCCATGATGCTCAGATTATCACCATTGGCAATGAAAGGTTCAGGTGCCCAGAAACCCTCTTGCAACCATTTTCTTAGGCATGCAATCTTGAGGCATTCCTAAAACTACCTTTAACTTAAAAGTGTAGTGTGATAGGAACCTTGGTAACAATTTGCCTATAACAATACCTATTGTCTGGTATGACCCCATAATATATATATACCTAGTATTGCTGACAGGATGCAGAAAGAATGACAGGATGCCTCCCAAAACAATGAAAATCAAAGTCACTGATCCCCCTTGAGCATAAGTACAGACAATCCTCAATATTCTGGCATTTAACTTTTGCGATTTCACACATTCACACAAATTTATTGGTAACCTCATTTTCACTTTCCATGTTGGCAACCATGCACATTCATGGCTATATGCAGATAAGAAAAAAAGGCAAGCAGGCAAATTTGTGGAGTGGCTGGTATCCTGCTAGACATTTAACTAGTTGTGTTCACCCTACCATTGTAAATATGTAGAGAGGTTTATAGCAGTATAGTATATAGTACAATGCCCTTACACCACCATCTGACAAAATGGAAATGAAGATTCAAGTTTAAAAATATTTAATTTTAAGAATTTTATTTACTGTACAGTATTTATGGTACTGTAGGTTTCATGTGTTGTGAAAAGTGAATATTGTCTGAAGTCAATGTTTTGTTTTTATTGAGATGTTAGCATAAAATGTCACAGAATTCTAGGGAAATAGTGAGAAAAAATGTCTTGCATGTTATCAGTTTTATTTTGTGTACTGCTTTTTGTAATTATTTCAAGATTACTGTGTTGTTATAAAGAATTTTATACAGAAAAGTGTATTTTCAGTACCCTTTAGCAAAAGATTAGCTTTTGGTGGTCATGAGAACCTAAACCCCTATTTCCCATAGGTTCAATGTATCAGCTTTTTTTTTTGACAGATGATTTTTTTTATATTTAAAAACAAAACAAAAATAAAGTAAAATACCCCCCAAACAACCTCCCAAAACAAACAAAAAACACCCATATTAAATAAAATTTACAGTGAACATACCCAGCAAACACCTGTATGTGCAATTAAATTCTGTGTCTGTTACTACCACAGGAACCTCAAACAAACAATATACAAGTGTTCTGAGGGGCTGGGGTGGATAAAGGAGGGGTAGGCACAGGTTTTAACTCATGGGATAGGGAAGACAAGATGCAGGAAAGTGAAAGGAGGGGAAAATCAACTTATTTTTTTCTTCTTAATTCTGTCCATATAAATATATTCATAAAGACCAAAAACAGGAAGAGGAGATAGGGTGGCAGGAGAAGGGGAGGAATGGAGGAGTGTAGGACCCTTCCATACCACCCCCCAAAAAACGAAAGAAATGCATTGGGGAGCAGGATGGGGGAAAAGGTATATCCAAAAAAAGGAGAGAGAGGATTGGAAGGAGAGGGAGGCAGAGAGGAGAGAAGCCAACCAGAGAAAGAGAGGGAAAAGGTGACAAAGAAAACCCCAGACTTAGTCCAGTGTGAGCGTGTGTGCATGTGTGCATGCGTGTATGAGTGTGTCTGTGTGTGTGCCTGTCTCACTATCTCTATGGCCTCAATCTCCATTTCTATGTCTCGTCTCCCTAATTCCATGTATGTTTCATGTCTGTCTGAATCAGCATCTCTATCTGGGCTTTTTCTGCATCCCTTGCCCATGCCACCCTCCCCCAACCCGTGGTGCTGGCCTCTTCCCCTCCTCTGCCTACCAGGAGCTGGCCGCTCCAGGATCCTCAGGTCATAGTTCTTTTTGGCCACTAGAAGTCTGAAGTGACTCACGGAGTTGTTGAGGCGGAGAGAGGCATTCTGGGTCTCTAGGGCTCTGGGGAACATAGCAGCGAAGTCTGTGTGAAGTCCCGTTGTTGTCCTCCCCCCTCCCCCACCAGCCGCCCCTGCCCCCGCCCCTGCTACCTGGCAACCCCTGAGCGTCCTTGAGCCACTGGATCTTGGCACCGGACATGGCGAGCTGCGAGAAGAGTTTGTCGGCCTCTGCACGGGTGCCGTGCCCTCAGGGAGATCTCTCACCTCCGACACCCGTCCCAGGACAACATCTGCAGTCCCCAGATCCGTGGAGGCAGATTTGAGTGCCTGCCTCTTCCCGCGGTTTCCATGCTTCATCCCAATCTATGACTGGTGTGCTGTATAAGTCGACTGGCCATGGAGCAGAGGAGGACAGATGGACAGATTGTATTGTAATGGCTGGCCCAAGAGGGAATAGTGCCCATCGCCCTGAGCATGACCAACAGACCGGGAGAACTGTGTAAGGACAGGAAGAGGGCTGGGTCCCGCGCAGAGCTGCTGAGGCTGATGACAGGAGATGGGGTTGGGAACTGAGTGGGTGATGCGCAATGTGTCAACTTTTGCACCATTTTCTAGGAAGGTTACTCCAAAGAAAGTTGAGGATTGACTGTATTCCTTCTGGATTGGAGGCTCCATCCTGGGCTCCCTGTCTAACATTTAAATGGGTTGTTCTTGTGTGTCAGTAAGGTGTGACCTAATAATTGCTCCCCAAAGAGATGAGATGGTCATGACTTTATTTGGGCTTTTTTCATGCTTGATTGAGAATTTTAAAACTGGAAAGGTGAAAGTGATGAGCAGTCTAAGTATGTTGGAGGTATATCTTCAGGACTCTAATGATGCAATTTGTTTCTTTGGAAGACCAGAAGGATAGAGATGCCCTTGACAATAATAGGAAAGGATAGAGGATTTGGGGGGGGGGGGGTGTGGATAATGAGCTCAGTTCGGACATGGGGAATTTAAGATACACACATATATCTGTATATAGCATCTACCTTGAGACATTTCGTAGATGGTTGGAGATGTGAGATTGGAGGTCAGTAGAGAGCTTAGGGCTGGTTTGATAATTGTCAGCAAGGAGATAACTGAATCCATGAGAGTTGATGAGATCATCAAATGAAGTGATACGGAGGCAGAAGAGAAGGCCCAGGACAGAGTTCTGTGACTCTGATATAAAGAAATCATGCTGACCAATAAGGTGACCATAACACTTTGCCACGTGTTACTGTTATTTTCAATATCTGTCATGGTAAGCCTCCGTACTAGAGAAGAGTTTTCTCAAAATTTTCTTCCAGTTGAATTGCATTTAATTGTGTCCTTGGCCACCCTAAGGTCTGAGACAGGGCCTCTATTAGTAGTCCTAGCCAACCTAAATGCTAGTCATCAGGTATTTATTCTTAGCAAGGGAAAATAGTCAGTTCTCTTCATTAATGGTTGAGGTCATCTTCAGTTATTGGTCTCTTCTTTGGGGGTGGGGGAAAGAGGCAAGAGGAGATAGAACCTGTCATTTTACTTTTATAGGAAATTCACTCTATGAATGCAAAACGGCAAATGCTCTTCAACTTAGAGAGTTGCTTGAGACACTGAAAAATTAGATGACTCATTATCATACAACAAGTATGAGAAAGGGACAAATCCAAGGGAGAGAGATATGTTCCAAGATGTCTTTCCCCACTCATGCCTTTGAAATTTCAGTGAATAGCAGCACCAACCCTTCTTCCCTGCTCAAAACAAAGACATCCCCAATCAAACCATCAGCTCAAGCCCCAGCAGCCATTGTTCAGGCAAGCAAACCTTGTGGAGATGCAGCCTGGCAACTGCCTCTGCAGGTATAGCGGCCCCTAGCTCCTCAGAAGCCACTGCTACTAAAGAAAGTTCTAACTACCAAAGTCCTTGCACAGTCAAATGCTTCAACATCAGAAACAGATGTGGTTTTATCAGTGTAAATGAAGTTCAAGAGGATGCATTACCATTTGTTTTGCCAATGTGTCCTAAGGATTTCAGAGCCTTTCCACCTAACATGCTTCTGGAAACTTGTATATTTAACGTCTCCTTTCTTCAGATCAGAGACTGTCTTGATTTTCTTATTGTATCCCCAGCACTTAGCATACTGTGTTATACATAGTAAGCACTTAACAAATGCTTTTTAATTCATGCATGCCCTTATTCACTCAACTATATATTGTGCAGGTCCCTCTGCTATGGGGAAAAGGAGGAAAAGGAAGAGTTACAAGTATGAGAAAGAAGTGGTATTGCCTAAAAATCTAGGGTGGGTCCTGCTTAGGCCCAACTCAATCCAGAGATTTAATAGACCATAAATAATTGACATTTGGGGACAGGGCAACAGATAAGGGACTCTATCAGATTTTTATCTATAGCACCTCTTTGAGGCAAGGGATACATTCATATTTATTTTTTAATCAACTCCAGTGCCTAGAAGATTTCATTACTCATGGTAAGTGCTTATAAAGACTATTGAAAGGAAGGAGCCACACAACTAGGAAACTGAGAAAGTTGTGTCCTAACTACTTATCCAGCACAAGTTCCAGTCAGGAGCTGCAGTAGCAGCAGCCCTCATGATAAACCAAAGCAGAAAATTTAATTTTCCAATCTAACCTTTGAGGGTGGGATGAGTGGCTTGAGCTCTGTCAGACAGATCTGTAGGTTTCTAGCTGCATAGGTGATATCAATTACTTAACCAAAAGTCACATCTTTTTTGCTACCCTTTAACACTTTCTTCTCACAGGGTAGCTCCCTAATCTTCAACCTTTGTTTCCCTGAAAAATTTCCCTCAGATATAAGATTAACACCAAGTACTGGGTTCAAGGCAAAGCAATGCCTAATGATTAACCCAAAGGTCTCACTTAAGCCCAACTGGAGGTGACAAGATCTGGGCAACCTTCCTTGAAAGAGTGATAAAGTGGCAAACATCTTCTATCAGGTTAAAGATTTGAAACATCTTTACGTTTTCACCATGGCTTCTTTTCTCCTACATGTTTAAACTTTCTATATAATCCCCTCTGCTTCAAGTTCTGAAACTACCTCAGCAAATGACTTTGCACAGTCCAATGCCTATACCCACACATCATTGTATAGATTTGAGTGTTGAGTTTTCTATGTAAATCACCTTACACATGTGGAGAGACCACAGGAGCCAAAACAGGTAGAAAAGAGAGGAGTGGGGAGGGTATGGGAAATAGTATGTAGATCTTTAAATGGAATTTTATTTTGTTTCCAATTTAATTCAAATGTTTTAACTAAAACACTAATGAACTAGGTAGTTTTATCATTTAAATGCATGTAACAGTTTTATTAGAAAAAATTTTGTTACTTATTGTGTGTGAGTCTGTGTTTTCTTTCTAGACTACATCTTTCACAAGACTTTGGACCTGAGAACTATAGAATTTCTCAAGGGCAAGTGTGAAAAAGGTTTTATTAAGTTATTACTATGTATCAGGCCCTGAGGTTACAACTACAAGCAAGCAAGATAGTCCTTGTCCTTACATTCTTCTGGGAGAAAACAACAGATAAAGAGGAACTAGAAGGGAAGAGGTGGATACAGCACATGGTTTTGAAATGGCTTGAAAGTGACATGGAGGTCTGGTTCCAAGAACAATAAGGTGAAAGCTCACATCTCTGAACTCAGCCCCAGTGGCCCAAGCTAGGATGCGGTAGGAAGGAGATGAGGCTGACCGAGTGCAGGTGACATGATTGTTCCATATACTACTGCTTACCACATTCAATTTTAACGTGATTTCCATGCACATGGATCGTGATAGTTGTTATGATTATTTGTTACACTCTAACTTATATGCTTATGTATAATTTATTGGGACTACACATTATTCACTTGTGGGAAGATATATCATGCCAGATAGAAGACTTACTTTTCTTCTCATCTAAAGCTCCTAGAAGACTTTGGGACTGAAGCCTGGAGGTTTTCCCAAGAGCAAGTGCATAATCCATGAGATGTTTCTGAGTATAGTAATGTTGAAGGGGAAACTTGAACTACAGGTTCCAGGTCTTGACTTTGTGCCAAGGTTACAAAGAAATTACGAGAGCTATGAGCTAAGGGATGCTTGTTGGATTACAATGCAAGCTTACCATTTAATAGATATAAATCTACCAACACAAGCTATATAGGGGCAAAGTTGTGAAGTGATTGATACACATTGACAAGCAGCTGCCCTGAGATCCTGACTGAGAGGAACAGGCAGCTAGGTTGATAGCATCAGTTTGGGGTCATAGTATATAGGGAAAATATTTCATCATTACTGGCACAAGGAAATAAAGTGGCAGTCACTCACACACAGCATAGGCTGAAATCTAGACTTCTTGGACTTTATTCTAAGTACTACAGGAACAAAGAACACCATTCCCTCCCCTTCCTACTTCCTTACTGGCCGAGCTAAACAGGACCTCTCTCAATTCCAGATCTTTTATGCTTGAGAGATTGTCCATTAGTAGATATGAAGTTATTTTTAGAAGGGTACAAAGGCAAGCCAGGATATTGACAATAACTCTTCTGATGCCGGCCACTCTCTACCTTTCCTCTTTAAAAGTCCCGTGCCCAGAGACATCTGCTGCAACAGACACTTTCTCTGGGAGAACCTCCAGGAATCAGCCCCAAAGTCTTGTGGGAGATATAGTTGTGCGTGGCAAGCAAGTAAGTCCCCTAGTCAGGTCTGTTATATTCACAATGGCCAACACTGCTAGGGGAAAGGCAAGAGAGGGAAAACTTGAGGTAAGTAAAGTGATAGAAGAAAGAAGAAAAACTGAACACTCTGAAAACTTTTCTAAAATTATACTTTTCTGCAAGTTAATTCTGCTAATATTGTAGCTAGAAGATAGCAAGAGCCTAAAAGTTTTGTTTGCAGATATCTTCCTAAAAATTTTCTGTGATGCTATTACACACAATAAGGCTTTTACTCTAATCAGGAAAAAATCTGGTAAAGCAGAAATCTCTACCTATACATAAAATAACTCTCTCCTTATTGTCTCCCCCCAATCACATACACATACCCCTTCCTCCACATGGCAATTATCAATCAATCACTCCCCCAAAATCCATGGTATTATTATAGACCTTCCTTTCCATGGTACCTCCAATATTGCACAACTTCCTTCTCACCTGTTTAAGGCCCAGTTTTTAACTCATCTTAACCTGAAGATAGATGTTCTATATTTAATGAGATTTATGAATTGAGACATGAATGAATATTGATATGCTACACCACCACCACAATCACCACCTGTCTGACCCTACTTTACCAACATGAAACTTGTAGGTTGCATCTCAAATGGGGAGTTACTATCTCAAGGTTCAAAGACAGGGCCACATCAGTGATTAGATTCATGGGCCTCATCTGTAGTAGAAGGCAGAAC